TAAAACGCTCGATTAATTCGCAGTTTTGAAACTATCTTGGTCCACAGACAAGACTGACATGATGTCCCTGGTTTGCAGATAATATGGAGATCTCCTTCACAACATCTGGAGTCAGTTCTGAAAAAATAAATAAATTCATTAATAAGAACATTGGACCATTTCACATTTCAAGTACACTTTACTAAAAGTAGAGAACAAGCAAATTTCAAATTACTCCTTTTAAAACTAAATGTATTCAAGTTTTTGTAGTTCAAAATATGAAGAAAGGTTTTATACTAAAAGTCAGCATGAAAATAAGAGAAGGAAGCAAATTTTGTGCGCAATATACCCCCCAAAGTTTTAAAAACAACTAAAACAGTCATTTTGATTCACAGCGGTATACACCATGGTGTAATTTCATAGAATTTTCTCACAGTTAAAACACAGGAGGAGGACTGGGAAACTGTCATTTTTTTTAGCGATGAGACACGGTGTAGGGCCGTGCAAAAACGTTTTGTTTATATATTTTTYATCTTTACTATCTGTTATATATCAGTGCATCAATATCAGTGCAATAAACAATGATTCCTTTCAAAAGTTGTTGCAMAATAGTTGTTGTAAAAGCGAAAATTTCTTCACTTATTCAAATATAAAGTTCTCTCCTAAGATCACGAGATCCTCTCTACTCGGCATCTCATTGGCTAATGAGCTAGATTTGGCCTGGCCATCCGCCTTTTATACCAGAACTTCCTGTTTAAGTCAAATTTCGAAAATTATCGACAACACTATGGGAAAGTGAGCGGAGAAGCATGAATAAACCCGAATGAAATACGTACAAATTTAATAGCATAGTGACTTGAGCCTCTCTTACAAGGCTCTAGCCACAAAAACGTAACTTGACGTTTATGAACTTATAAAACTTTATCATTTTATCATGAAAACCGTTCACCTGAAGCAATGTACCTTTTGTAAACGCGCCTCTTTCTTGGTAAAATTTCAAACACATTTCTAGTTCCTTTGTTGAATATTGTGGAACATGAACATCCGTGAATGGAGAAATAGCTGATTCCCCATCCTGAAAGAACAATAACAGAGAATAGGCAATRTGCAGCGACAAAATATTTTACACAAAAACTTTCACTTTTTTGTCAATAATATCTAAAAGCCGTTGTCGTGTTGTCTTCACAGAAACGTCGCAAATAGCTTTAGGAGAGGTATTTAGCAGGTATAGATAGGGTGAAAGGACATGCTGGATCTCTACCAGCATGCTTTGTCGAACAATGCTGCACATTGACTATTGAATGGGTTACTGACTAGAAAAATTATTGGCATATTGATTTGGTTACTAATGTCTTTCAGTGAGCCTCTTTGACTAGTAGCCTCTATATCWTCATTGTCATCATCATCATTATCATCATCATTTTATTGCCAAATTGCATGTATATAATTCTCAATGAATGGTGTAGTTATAATAACCTATACCTTTCCCAATAGGTCGCTAACATGACAAGATTGGTTATGACTTCTTTCTATCCCAGTGCGAGATAAGGCAAATACCATGGCTGCATTAGGCTGAAAATGATGAAAATATGTAGGAAGAGAAATTCTCAAAATGTCAATCTTGCAAACAATCAATTAGTCAATAGATCAGTCAATCAATCAGTCAGTCAATCAGTAAGTCTATCAGTCAGTCAATCAATCAATCAATCAATCAATCGATCAGTCAATCCGTCAATCAATTAGCCAATCAATCCATAAGTCTATCAGCCAGTCAATTAGTCAATCAATCAATCGATCAATCAATCAGTCAATCAATCAAACAATCAATCAATCAGTAAGTCTATCAGTCAGTCAATCAATCAGTCAATCAATTAATCAATCAGTCAATCCGTCAATCAATTAGTCAATCAATCAATCAATTAGTCAATAAATCAATTAGTCAATAAATCAATCAATCTGTCAATCAATTAGTCAATCAATCAATCAATTTGTCAATAAATCAATCAATCAATTAATCAATCAGTCAATCAATTAGTCAGTCAATCGGTTGTTCAGTTTTTCAGTCAATCAATGGATGTATGAGGAAATGGAAGGATAGTTCAACAGACTTACTAGTCCATCTTGAGGATGCAAGAGCTTAGTGAAGTGATGAACTAGACTCAGGTCTTTGGGTTGAATCTAAAGTCAACCAACAATAATTAATTAATATTAATAGTTCATCAGCATCAAAACATCAAAATGAACATTTCTTACCCATTTATCTTTAGAATCCTTGAAAGAAGTATTTCCAAARAACCCATTAAACTCATCRACAGCAAACAACACTTTTAAACTAGAATTTGAAGAAAGTAATAACTTAGCTGATAGTAGGTAGCTAGAGTGCAAGCAATAGCACTTTCAGTAATACATTGGAGAAGATAAAAGACTCTGTGTTTATAGCCTGCCATGTGACTACTATCAAAGTGAGGATCATTTTCAAAGCTAAGATAGTCTGTACTTTTTACAAAACAAAATTATCAGAAAATACCTTGTTTCTTTTCTAAGTTCTTTTAAAACAACACCAACAACATCTGGTGCATAGTTGATTCTTTTTAAMCCCTCAAAAAAAGAAAGAAAGAAATCATCCAAAAGCAAAAATCAAGCAAAACCAGACATCATCTCAATGAAAACCTCAGCACATTAAGATTCTCATCACTTATTAACTGAAATGGACAGTTTAATACTCAATTAATGTGTGGCTAGACAATTTTCKTATCAAGCTCTTCATTGCTAATGTATATTAATGATCAATTAATAATTATACCTGGTCAATCACACTAAGAAGTGATTTCCCTTTCTCAGTAGAGTCAAGYTTTCCCCAGGAGTAATTCTGACTTGTCTGGATCTACAAACAAATATAATTGCTATTCTCAYGKTTGYACAATGYGTATTGYCATCAGGCCACATCAGATGAAACTGCAATTTTTGCAAWTTTGACGTACTTGGACTGTGCTTTGTTTGAATGCTTAATTGAAAGTATGTGCAAGTAAAACTTCTACAACCTGATTAAWTKCAGTCTCATTTGAACAAGGAAACAGAACTTCAAACTRCTAACCATCACCTGCTCACTATGGAGCATTCAAACTTGTAACRATCAATGTCATGGTCATTATTACCTTACTTAGAAAATCTGTATTAATTTCTCTGGTCAATTTAAGCCATTGTGCGGATTCCTCGGGCTGATCAAATCTATCCTCTCTGCTCTTTGATATCTGAACACCTTTCTTATTATGAACCCAGCGAAATACTGCAAAATGAATAGATATCACACAACAAAATAAACAAATAAATTTGACAATGATATTAACAATAGACCAATCCCGCATTCACTTGGATGAACACGGAACAATGACTTCATTTCGAGGCTGGAGTTTTATCTTTTGTCAAAACTCCAGCCTCGAAATGACGTGATTGTTTCGTGTTCATCCAAGCGAATGCAGGATTGTTCTGACTTCCGTATTCTTTTCTGAATTGTAGTTTGATGYGCAACATCTGGGCAGGTAGCTAATTATTGACAAAACAGTGAAGTTAATTAGTAATTGAAGGTCTTACCACTGGGTACAAGTAAAATAAAGCAACCYGCTTTTAAACCAGAATGAACAACATGAGCCCAGGAAAGAGTTTTACCACAGCCTGCCTCACCATCTTGGATCAGTCATTAAGATTTACAACATTATCAATCCTTTTGCAGTAAATACACTCAATACTTTTTAAAGTATTTAAGAATTAGAGCTTAAAAATTCTCGGGAATGAGGGATATTACAAATCCATAATCACACAAATATGAGCTTATGACTAAGATGAAAAAAAAAAGATGAATGCAAATGTGATTTTAACTACACGCACTTTGTCAAATAATATTGTATAGTCTATTAACGTTAATTGTTTAAAATCAGAAGCTGCTTCAATGAAATAATGTTAAGGATACAAAAGACAAACTTTGGTTGATTTTCACCAGGTTTCCAATTATTCAGKTGTTGTATGACTTSTAAGGCTGGTTTTCTTACCATCAAATAATCACTACCAAACAATTTCTTCTGGAAAACAAAAAAAAACCCAGACTTTTAAATCAAATATATGAAGCCAATTAAATAAAATATCTCAGAGACTGACCTGAGCTGTGTATCTTTTTGGAAGACAATAATGAAGTTTACTCCTTACTTCATCTTCAGGTATTGAGTAAAAACARCCAAGATGAGAATTTGAATGGTTATTCTGAACAAAAATATGAAAAAAGGTTTCGCTTAAAAATTTGACAGATTAACAACAAAGCCTTATATTATGTTTCAGAATAAAATGCAGTAACTGTAGAGGGATTGCACTTTTAAAAACCATGCAACTGTCCAAAATCTAAGTAGTACTAATTTGTACTAAAAGTGGACCTGAAGCAAGACAGTATTGAATGCTTCAATTGTATTTTAATTTAAAAATTCAATTTCAATTGCGTGCCACATGCACGATTTACCAAACTAAATAGCACTATTTAGTTTGTACAGTTGCACGGTTTAAGTGCGATCACTATAGCATTTTTTCTCATCAATGTACTCTATTTGTATAGTTGTATTTGTGTAACATTGATATGACATAATGACATAAGAACATAGACATAAAAAGACCAAAGGAAAAGTCTGCATAGCTTTATGCTTTCATGTAAGCTTATGTTTATGTCTTATGATTATGTTTATGAAATGACATTCTTTTGAACATAAGAATAGTAGTATTCTAGGAAATGACAGTGGACTTATGGCATAAAAGCAGCTCATATGAACGCTTTAACTGAACTTAATCTTGACAGCAGCACGTGCAGCTAGTCTATCACGTGCAATTAATAAACAGCTGTTTACCGGGTCGCTTTCTGAAATTATCACAGACGTATATTTTTTTCCAAGGTTTCYTCTATCAACAGCAGCATTAGCCCTTGTACTTAACGTCCGTAAAGAATCCTGCAAGATTACATACAAGAAATGACAGTTACATAAGATTAATTCGTCCAGCTTYCGACGCAGTGCASATCTGAAACCTCCCCAAAACTTACCCTATAAACGTGAACATTTTTTCTTGSAAAAATTCCTGTAGCAAGAACAAATAGTAATCTATAAATAATTGTGATAAAATCTTCAAATTTCGAACAGAAAATGATGAAAAATTACATTAAAAAATAAAGTTGATTCAAACTTACTGATAGCCGCCATGTTTTTTTGCGCAAATAACTTGGCGCATATTTTCATTGGAATCTCCGCTGCTCATAATAAATCAAAAGCGCCATTTTGTTTTTTACTTGCAGTGATAGTTCACTTCACAATTTCCTCATATTTACTGAGCCTTGCTAGCTCAATTTCATGGCYGGTGGAGATAAAAGAAAGAAGAAGAAACGCTCCGACCGGAGCAGGTCGCGTTCACCCCGAACAAGGGGCAAACCTTCAAAAAGGAGGGATTCTTCCGAAGACTCGTCTGCGTCGGAGTCTGATTCTGACAGACGAAGTCGAAGAGATAAAGAAAAATCGAAAGACAGAAGGTAAGTCAAATAAATATGTTATCAAGGTTATTTAATTTGGCTGTTTTTTTTTCAATATAGACAGCTGTTTCTCTCCTATAAATGTTACGTATGACTTAAACTTATGTCTAGATTGAGTCTCCTCGGCCTCCAACGTTTMAACAACGTAAAAAGTCTTCTAAATCTTTACAGCAGCTTGCAAATCGTGATCCACAAATCGTTATAGTAAAAGTATATTGTATTGTAATTGTATTTGTACTGTATTTATGTTTGAAGTATCTGTCGACTAGATAAGCTTAAATAGTTTCAAGCATTGAAAGCATTGTGATAGTATTTTCAATTTCCCAATGTTTCATATCACGTGCCATGCTCTTGAATGTTGGTCTGGATTTTATAGAAAARACAAAGACTACTACAAATCCTTGGAAACACCAGAAGAGAAACGTGCAAGGMGGCTTGCRAAGAAGGTGATTATCTACACCTCCTACAAAATAAAGSCATTTGTTCAGATTGCTAATATATCATCAGCTCTTGATAATCTTAATAAATCTTTGATTTGAAAAACAGGAAGCAAAAGAGAAGAAGAGAAGAGAACAAATGGGATGGAACAAAGAATACGATGTAAAGTACTTGTCAAAATTATGATCAATTTAACTCAAAATCTCAGAAATTAGGTTTATAAGATCCAAAAATGTCCTAAATAACATTAGCTTTCATTTTTATGAACTCTAGGGGTACACTAATGCTGATAATCCATTTGGAGATGCTCATTTATTAGAAACATTTGTCTGGCACAAGGTTAGTTTTCTTYKTAAAGTATTGATTYTACTTTAATTTGGTGGGCTTCCTGTGCYGATTASSCAAATAACACAGGAAWCCCARTCCTGACAATGATTTTATTACAGAAAAGAGAGAAACATGGTGAAGCTGACTTAAGTGAAGATGAAAGAAGAATATTTGACAAACGAAGACAAATGGAAGCAAGAGTAAGTTGTCACTGTCATATTATAATCATGATATTTAAGATATAATTGATTTACTGAATACAAGCAATTAAAAGTCTTTAACATATTTTGATAATGAACAGTCAATTCAGTAAGGATATGGTTGTTGCAGCTRGGATATTAACAAGTTTTATTTTCTTATTTCATATTCTAGAAACAACTTGAAAGAGTGAGGGAAAGAAGAGCTGTAAGTGGTTTATCACTAAAAATTTTATCAAAAACAAGAGAACTATAAGTAGACTTGTTAACTTGATAACATTACTTATTTCATTATTATAACATAAATGGTTATTGATTTTAATGTAGGAAAGAGAACGAGAAATGGTTTTAAGAGAAGAAGAAAAGGTAAAAGTTATTCCACATAACAAAGACTGTGCAGTCCTTTTATTCTGAAGTTTTCTATAATTTAGACATTGAATATGATGTGAAATGTTTCAGGAAAGGATGCAAAGAGAAAAAGAATCTACTTATTACAGTGAATGGGAAAAACAGGAAGACAAGGTATAGTATTGTTAATTGTAGTTATTGTTGTTTTTTGTTTACTCAGTTATTTATTTTTCAAATATCAGTTTCATCTTCAACAAGCTATGCTWCGGTCAAAAATACGAATCCAAGATGGCAGAGGTAGGAGAAATACAGACTAAATTTTAACAATGTTTTGTTGGCTGGGCTGTGAATCTATATCATGGCTTAGTTTATTGAAAATTTGTTTTCCTCTTTGCTTTAAAAGAGTTCTTTGTAGACTAATGTCATGAAGCTTTGTTTCCTCCCTTTCATCTTCTCTTTCTTTCTCTTTCTTCTTCCATATGCACTTTTCTTTCATTCTCTGCAAAGACTAATTCCCTTGGCTTCCTTTATTAACTAATCAAATAACCAATGATTTTATTGGTAACCAATAACCAATGATTTTATTGGTAACCAATAACCAATGATTTTATTGGTAACCAATAACCAATTATTTTATTGGTTATTTTAGCCAAACCTATCGACCTCCTGGCACAATACATCAGTGCAGAAGATGAAGACTTGGACATCAAGATGCATGAGCCATATACAATGCTAGTGGTAGGTTTATGTTATTCTGTCATGTACAGGGAAGCAATGGTGGTCAAACTATAAAACTAGTGCCTTATACATGTATCTCTGTAATTCTTGTTTCATGCCATCATTATGTCCAGGGTTCTCAGTAGAAATAAAATTATAAAAGTAGACGTCAAAATAGGAAAAGTACCCTTCAAGGAAAAGTACAGCCAAATAATTTGCAAATAAATTCATAAGTAGCTGGCAATTAACTAAGCTATAACTGGCGATTTTCGCCGGCTGCTGGTTTCTACTGAGAACCCTGTAAGTCCTGGCACTCTTGGGTGATTTCAAATGACTTGAGTCAGTGGAACTGTTGTTTTATCTGAAAAGTTTGCATGGCTGGTTAAGTTTCTCTTGTAGTTGGAGTTTCAGTTAGGCTTGTGGATGAAACAAGGTGACAAGGGGTTCTAATCTGCAGTAAAATGTGCTTGTTTCTTTGTTCTTTAGGGTTTAACTCAAGTTGATTTATCAGATTTATTAGAAGATATTAAAGTGTATATGGAGCTGGAACAAAATAAGAATACTGAGTACTGGCAGGTAGATTTTGTAACAACATTTTACTTTATCTTTGCTTCTCTTTTCATGTTGTTTTTTTTTTTGCATGATTCTTTTCTTATTGTTTTCTTTTTATTTATAAATACAATCCTTCTTACTGTGCAGAACTTTCAATTCATTCTGATTTTTAAAAAGGACATTCATTTTGATTCTTTTAGGACATAACTACAATATGTAAAGATGAGYTACAAAAACTGAAGAAAAAAGTACATAAAGGTATTTACTGTGGGCTCCCTGTGGACACAGGGTTCCCAGTTTAATAAAAGTAGTCCTTATTAACCTATATCTTTAACAATTTAGATCAGTTTGCAAGAAGAGAAGGAATGCACGAGGCTGTTCATACAGATGTTGCTAAGATATTCACAGGAAAAACGCATTCACAGTTAATAGCGTTAGAAAAGCAAATATACTCCAAAATATCTAGTGGTGATGCTGTTGACATTGGTAAGATTACTGTATTTACTTTTTTCAGTAATATATTAGATCTGAGATGGTTAGAGTTGGTATGTTTGGGTTACCTGTGTCCACAGGTATCCCTATAAAGCTATGTGTTTATCCATTTTGATAYAGGGTACTGGGAATCATTGTTACAACAACTTAAAGTATTTATGGCGAAGGCAAGGTTAAAAGAAAAGCATCAAAGAATGCTAAGAGAGAAGTTGAATCAATTAAAACAAAAGGTCAGTGTTTGGGCTCCCTGTGGAATGATTTTTGGGTTTCCTGTGGAATAACAAATAAAGCACTGGTTTTTACTTTGTAGAAAACTGAATCCAATGATTCAACTGRAGAAATTGAACTAAGTGAGTCCGAAAGTGAGCCAGAAAAAGACGAAACAAAAGTGGAACAAACTGAAAAACAAGATGAACAAGAAAGAGAAAGAATTGATGACGAACAGCCATCAACGAGTAAAAATTGGAGGGATGAATCAGATGAAGAAGAGGACAAAAATGATGACAATGAACCGCCGATTGAAGGGCAAACATTGTCTCTTTTCACTGAAGAAGATCTGTTAGAGGAATGTTATTCAGCWTATGCAGCTGGGAATTATAGTCCTAAGTTAATAAAAACTGCAGATGTTGAAGAGGTACAGATTTGTGTTGTCATTTCTTTGGTATTTTGTTTCATAGTTTTTGTCATTATCATAATGTTGCATTATTGTCAAGGTTTTCAGCTTCATAACATTGTAGTCATACTAAGTACCTACATGTACAACTTATTTTGTTTTCTAGAACTTGATAATGGATCCATTTGAAGACTGGGAAAAACTGGTAAGAGCCACTGTATTGATAATCATTGTATAGAGACCACTTGAATGTGTTGTCAAAGCAGGTTAATTTGGGGAATATAAATCTTTTTAAGATGTTTTTTAAAGATGTAGAATCCATCTTTTTGTCGAAGTGGTGGAAACTAGTAGTAAACTAGTGTGAGCTGCATCGATGTTTCTACATATTGTAAAGAAACAGTTGTGTAAAAAGATTAATTTAACACTGCAAAAAGTAGATGAAACAACTTACTGATGATTCAGACATTAATCCTTCATCGGAGTAAATACGAAGGATTAACGTGATCCAAAATGTCAGTAAGTTGTTTCACCTCCTTTTTTTACGGTTTTGAATTTATAAATTTATCTTTTTACACAACTCCATCTTGTTGTGCACCAGATGGAACTGCATTGTCATAAACTACAAGGACGCTACTGTTGTAAGCTTTATTTCAATCATTGTCTTGATATTTTATCTTTAAGCTGTCACTGAGAGAAGATGTCAGAGGTGGAGGCACACATTTGGTAAATATCTTAATCTCTTAAACAGAACTCTCAGGCCCAACTGTAAAATTAACAAATGAATGTCAACTTTAGGTCAAAGCACTGGAGAGTTCAGCCATGGAGAAAGAAGAGGCCAGCAAAGGACTTGGCCCTGATGAAGAGACATTTAATGTCCCWGTTCCTTTATCTCAAAAGGTAAACTCACGAAAATAATGAGTCAAATGTTATTACATCCAAGAAAAAAGCAAAATATTTTCTTTTCTTCCAGACCTATACTTGGGAAGATAAATACAGACCAAGAAAACCAAGATTCTTCAACAGAGTTCACACCGTAAGAACTCCCTTGAAAACTTGAAGGAGATGAATTTAGTCTTGTTTGTTTAATATGGTTTGCTTTGTCTGTTTTCACAGGGTTATGAGTGGAACAAATATAACCAAACTCATTACGATAGTGACAATCCACCTCCCAAGATTGTTCAAGGATATAAATTCAATGTAAGTTACACTAGAGTACAAACACTAAARCTGTGCAACATAAATACCACTAAATACTGCTAAATTATGCTAATTCTATTGTTTTCTATTGTTTAATTAACACTATTTTGTAGTAAATAGCGGAAAGTGTTGCACATCATATGTTTTTACTCTACAGCAAAAATGCTTTACTTTAAATACCACGTGTCACACTTTTTTATCAGTCACAGTCTATTTACAGCTTCAAAAAACAAAATTTTAGATAGGAATTTTCCCCACAGGGGGGAGGGGTGGGAACRGATGTACACAGGCTAAATTTTAGATGGTATCCCAAAAGAAAACAGACTTTGCTTCAAATGCTTTGTATCTCTAAGTGTAGTGTCTGATCTAACTGTTTATGATTTTTGTTTGATAGATATTTTATCCAGATCTGATTGATAAGACTATTGCACCTGAATATTATGTGGATCCAGAGAAGGATTCACCGGACTTTGCTGTATTGAGATTTCATGCTGGTCCTCCCTATGAAGTAAGTATTGTAGGTTGTTTGACTGTATGAATGGTGCTTAGAATAGTGATATCCAATGAAAAAAATCCTTATCCACCCTTTCAACAATTTTGCTCTTAGTCTAATAATTCTACTCTCCATTGTTATCAAAGTCACTAATTGAGATGTTATTTCTTCAAAGGACATTGCTTTCAAGATTGTAAACAGAGAATGGGAATATTCACATCGGAAAGGATTTCGCTGTCAATTTCATAACAACATATTTCAACTTTGGTTTCACTTCAAGCGATATAGATATCGTAGATAGTGACATCTGTCAATCAAAAATCTGTATATATAATCAGCGTATCTTACTGTAAGGACCTCGAAGAGATAAAGAAAATGACCAGTATTGTATTAAGCCCCTATGAATCGTCCTCCAGCTTCAATAGGTAAGCAAGCTTGTTATAGCAGAGAATATTGCAAGGAATCTTCCCTTCCCACCTAGTCAAGCATTAATATTGCAAATACTTTACAAAAATCCAGACATTTTCTCTTCAAAGACTTGTTTATTTGTGTAAAATATAAGTGTGAATTGTTAACAAAAATCTTTGTWTTATATTAATGTATTTTTATAATGCTGAAAACCACTACAATAATTATGTTGTATGGCCTTGTAATTTTGTATGAACTTTCTACATGTAAGTCGTAAAAACTATTAAAATCCAATTATTATTTAAAATAATGAAAAGATGTGTTTATTGTGTGTTAATTGTTAGAATATAAAGTGAGTTTGTAGTAAGTAACAAGCAATGAAGTTGAATACAAGCACCAAATTTGATAAAGTGTCAAGGATGTTACTTTATTATAACATTTTTACAATATTCAAACACCAATTTTCTGCATTCTCAACACTTTATGTAATTCAGTAGTTAACCCAATTAAAACTGTACATGTATGAACTATGTGAAATAAGTATTTATTGCCATTTCTTAAAAAYAGAGAAGTTATACCTTGAAATAAACTTCTCCAAGTGACAAAAAATGCAGTATTCTTGCRAGAATTGATAATCTATATTGTCATTTTTTTCAGAAGAAAATAAAAATATCCTGTTGATAATCTGTCTCTAATAGGAAATAAACTTTACAAGATTAATCGGAAGCGTCAATAATGAGAGGYGTGATGAATTCRCTRTGGCGAATTCCAAGTGAAAATGAGGGGGCTGCTTTCTTTGTRACGTAGACTTTCTCAGGGCTGTGTGCACCAGGTCCTGGCTTCTTTGTAGAATCTATATAAAAAACAGACAATTTAGTAAGAAAGCATGATTGTTGCAGCTAGGATTCATGAGCAAAAAAAAAAAAAAAAGATCTGAGAGCAGATCGAAATGTCTGAATAAAAAACTAAGCTAGAGACAACCAGATATTTGTTTTAGTAATAAAGTTTTTGCTGGCTTGCTTACTACACCACAAAATAGTAGTTTTCTGTCTAACTATAAGAGTAACCATAAAAATGCACAGGCAATAATAATGAACCTCTTTAGGATATCAGAAAGAGAAATAATCACAATTCACCAACCTCCAGGCATATAACTTCGACTAAGCATTGAGTAGCTTGGAGATTTATTTTTAACTGTGTTTGGTTGAGTTGTCTGGTATCTTCCGGGTCCAGGAGTTTTTGCAAGATCTTCTGAAAAGCCACCAGTCTTTGCTCKTGCAGTCATTGAATATGAAGATGAGGAGTACTTGTTGGGTACYCTTGGTCCAAGAAGTGTCGGCAATGTGTAGGAATTGGCTGCTGGTGTGCCATCTCCTGTTAGCAAAAAGCAAATATACTTGTTTAATACTTCTTGTAAGATGAAGACAAATCACAAACACTTAATTTATTTAACTATAAGAAATAGTGTTTGTGGCATTCAAAGAGGCAGGGAAGGCGAAACACTTAATTTATTTAACTATAAGCAATAGTTTTTGTGGCATTCAAAGAGGCAGGGAAGGTGAAACGTTTTCATGAGTTAGATTTACATTCTTTGACAGACTCGATGTGCAGCAAAGGTTTTTGTGTATAAGAAAAACAACATAGAATAATGTTGGCATTCATTTTAGATTCATGTTATTGCATTTGTTTTTTGAATATCGGAAGTCAAACTTACTTCTCCTGAATCTTGTTCTGGCTCCCATTGAATAAGCTGGAGCATGCCTCTCCCCTTGAGGGTGTACTTTCTCTGGTGAATACGTGCCAGGTGCCGGGGTCTTGAATGTGTCTAGATTAGAGAGACAGTATTAGTATCCTTGAGTGCAWGTATTAGGATTTTTACATCTAAATYCAGATGCGCCCAACATCTCAAACCACATCACATCRTGATGGAAAAAATATCAAACTTATATGCATATATATCTGTTACTAGTGTGAAAGTGTTTTTTTTTTTTTGTAATGAAGTGTTTTTTTTGTAATGAATTGTCCCTTTTCTGTAATGAA